GCTGTTGGGCACGTGCCCAACAGAACATCAGTCAGCGCCTCAAATGGCGAAGATGGAACTTTCCTCGTGTGGTCCAGGCATCTCTAGTCGATCCCTTCAGTCATCTCTCTTATTGTTTCAGCTTTTTACTCAACTCTGTCGGCCGTGACCACTGCCTCGAATCTCACTAGGTACTAGCACAACTCTCACGTTCTCCTCTCAGTCTCCACCAGATCTCAACTGCCCTCCTCGACTATCGCCCGCCATCACCCCGCCATGCCACCTTACTCCGGAGTACAGAAGCAACTGATCTCCCAGTTTGTGAACTTCACAGAAGCCAAGGACGCAGTAGCAGCAAAGGTATGTTCTGCTTTCGGCCTATTAGATCGTCGATACCCTGCCAAAGTTGTCACTTTTAAGTTCAGATCACGTGAAATTTTACATTGTCCATCCATCGCTAATTATCCTGGGCTTTACAGTTCCTAAAAGCACATAGGTGGAATGTAGAGGAAGCTATTGATGCGTAAGTATTCGAATTTGTTCCTTTGCCTTCGTTTGTAAGGATTCCTGTTATGAGTGCATTCTTTTCTCCATGTTCGACATCTGCTGCATGATCTTCATGATCTTCACCGAATCTAGAGCGGTATCTGTTCCCTGGGCGCAGATAGGTGGTACATAAGAAGTGTTAGTGCTCCTTTTGAACAGGATCTGTTGTGTGGCCGCTGCCCTTTGGATCATACTCTTCCATCGCGTCGCGTCGCGTCCTGCGACTCTTCTCCGGGTATCTGGAGATGGGTACTGGTGCACTCAACTGTGCATCTACAGTCATTCAACTCAACGACGGTATACTGGAAGAGTGCCGAATCCCTTTCCATTCTGCTAAATGGGACGCCCTGTGGTCATTCAGCTAGCCGTGGGAAGTCCATGTGTTTTATTACTGCCCTTTCCTGCCCTCAGATACGTACATAGTATCTTCCTGCTCTGGCTAGCCCTATGCAGTTCTCTGGGTTGCAGCCATTTGGATCTGGAATTGAGCGATCACGCTATGTTGGTAGTTTCAGAATGGCATGCATTCATACGCACGTGTCCACTCTACCTTGCGCTGTCAAAGCCAAGGTCCTATCATCGAGCAGCTACTTTTCCTGACTGGAACCGCTGCTTTCGTCGTGAGCATCGAGCTTCCGAGGTGCCTTGCAATGAGCATCAGATGGACTGAGCTTAGAGGCGAGGCCTATAAATTCCTATTATCCGGAGTCTTCAAGTGCGCTCATTGAATCCGGGTCGTCTTGGCAGATGTTGGCTCTATTTTATCCGCGATTGCTTCTTTGTTTGAATCTTTTTAATGTTTGTCTCCAAGCGAAGGCTAATTGGATTGTCAGTTACTTTCAGAGCCCGCAAAGCAACGGGGGAAGCACTTCCGCCCTCAATAAGATTTTCGACTCGTATCGAGGTATTTCCTTAAGGGTCCCGGCACCAACTCATCGCAGTGCGATTTGCTAATTGAAGCTTAGATGCACCCGAAGAGAACCCTGACGGGATAGGTATTGAAGGTGCCATGAAGTTCCTGGGGGATATTCAAGTACAATTAGACGAGGTGGCATGCCTGGGAATTGCAGAGCTTCTCAAGTCGCCGTCCATGGGTGAGTTCACGAGAGAAGGCTTTGTAAACGGCTGGAGAAGCGCCGGGTAAGTGAGCACTCGATTCTAGTTTACCCCGCCCTGCACCCGTGTATTCAACTAATATGGCGATATAGATGTGACAATCTACAAAAGATGATTGCTCATGCGGCGGACATTCGAGCTCGTATCCCGGCTGAGCCAGACCTCTTCCGTCGCGTCTATCGGTACACATTTCCTCTCTGTCGTATGCAAGGCCAGCGGAATCTCCAGTTCGATATTGCCGCAGAACAGTGGAGATTGTTCTTTACGCCCGAGCATGGTGGCATCGAGTGGAACACGCCCACGACTCCCTGGTTGGACTGGTGGATCGAATACCTCGAAGAGCGTGGAAAGCGACCCGTCAACAAGGATCTGTGGGAGCAGGTTGAAGTGTTTCTGCGCAAGACCCTCGAGGACGAGAACTTTGGTTGGTGGAGTGCTGACGCCGCTTGGCCGGGAACCCTGGATGAGTTTGTGGGATGGGTGCAGGCGAAACGGGGCAAGTCTTCGGAGGAGATGGAAGTCGAGTAACCACTAAGAATGATGGGGCACATCAATCAGTCTTATTAGGCATGGCCTGATCCCTTTCTCATGAAGAGTGCGTGCGATCCTTCGTACTCCGTGAGTATATGTGTAAATGAGCAATTGAACTTCTCTCTAGTATCGAAGGCCACTATGTTACTGGAGACTATAAGACCTTAAAGACTGTTGGTCTATCATCTAGTAAGAGATAAGTCGGAAATGAAGCTGAAGTCCAAACAGCCAACCCAAATGATAGATAGTCCAAAGCCCAAGGCATCATAAACATTCACATACAATATTTAAAAAGTCGTCGTAACAGATAACAAGAAAAGGCATATCTTCATCTCGACATCAGGAGAATCACCGGGTCGAAGAGAGATGTCACATGAGGCATGTTCAAGAAATAAATTGGCATGCATCATATGCGTTCAAAGCAGTCCGCCAGCCACAAGCCCAATATCCGAGAAATTCTACAAGTCCCGAGATCTTGGTCTCAGTTTATCGCGCGGTCTGTGATGGCCTGCCGAGTCATTAGATATATTCGCTTTCTTTACCGGTAGTCGCCGCCCTTCTCGTACTCGCTGCCGGGGCCACGGCGTTGGTCGTAGCGCTGTTGCGTATTAGCCGGGCTCTACTTAAAACGAGAAGATGACTATACCTTTCTCAGAGCCTCCAGGCGCTTTTTCTTGGTGTGAGTGTTGACGTAGGTTCCGATGAAGAAGCCGATAATGTTGAAGAATGGCACCCAGGTGTGCTCGGGAAGGAACTTCTGGGCGAAAGCAAGCGCCAGAGGCGAAGTGATCCAGCTGACTTTCATGACGGGCATGAAGCCGGCCTTAACGGTTGCGCGGACCTGGTGGAAGGTGCGCGCGCCGGCGATGATAGCCATCGACGTGAGGTAGACTGCGTTTTGAATGGGGGAGACCTGCAATGTGAATGCGGTTAAAATTCGTTCGCGTTGAGTGACCATGCACTAGCCATCTGGCGGGTACATTTAACAGAAACGTACGATCAGGTTGCTGGCGAGGATCTGGAGGATCTTGGCCTTCAAGCTGGTGCGACCAGCAAAGACTTTCTGGAGGATGCCGACGAGCAAGTGGCCGAGAGGCGCACTGATGAACATGCCGTAGAGGGTCATCTTGGGCACCCGAGCGCTGAAGTAATGCCCGTGCTTGCTGACATCGTTTGCAATCCAGGAAGCTAGGACTTCTTGGAGACCAGAGAGCAAACCGGATGTCAACATCTTCGTGCGCAGGGGATTCGACTGCAGCTGACGCAGGTAGAGCTATGCCATGTTCAAACGCCTGGTCAGCCATCTATCCGCGCAGTACTCTTCCGGAAATCAATCAGCAGCAGATCAAACATACAGCGAGGTAGCCTGTCTGAGTATCTCCCCCCGTCAACCGCTCCCCGACCTTATGCGCCAATTCCTTGGTATCCTTTCGGATTGACTTGGTGACCTCTTCCTGAAACTTGACCGACATGGTTGCTGGTGTTTATTGGAATGCGGGTCGATGGACAGATCAGGTAATGGAGGCGATAAGAATAGCCGATAGCTATGCGCAGTGAGAGCGACGGTCAGTGACAGAGGCTCAGGAATGAGAACGACGGATAATTGACAATCGACACAGAACGAGTAAATATGAGGCGAGGTGGGTAAGGAGGCTGCTAGGTTGGATAGAAAGGAAAATCGTGGGGTTGGACAAGAGGACGTTTAAAGAGAGCTAAAGGGAAAGGGGGCCGGCCGCTGTTTGTTTATGTGATGAGGAGGCTGGAGACAGACACAGAGAGACGGTTATTGCATCGGGGAGCTTACCTTACCGAGGCAGCCTGGCCCAGACCACGACACAACAACAACTAAGATATAGAAAGAAAAGAGAACGGCTTTTACTTGCAGCAGCTCCGGAGAGTTATGTGCATGCAATTGATCTAGATATAGACAGACGGGATGTAATGGGGCCCAAACGCCGTTCCTGCGATGGAGATAGATAAATAATACCGATTATTAGTTGCTTGAAGGTGGAGGGGGAAGACGCATCTCTGCCCTCTCAGGACAGGTTCTTATTCGGCCACGCCGCGGTCGGCAGATGGCGGGTTCATCGCTGACAGGCCTGGCAACCTCGGGCACCTCCGACATCTGGGGAGCTTTTCCGATATGGTGTTTCTTGGGACCCTTTGGCTGGAATCAATGGAGATTTCTGGAGGGTGACTTTTCATTTTATTCTGCTAAGGCGTTCATCAGCTTGGGCTGTTGTCTTTGATTGGATTTAGCGGTCTTTCTGTGTGCGTAACGCCGTGCTATCATTTATCACCCTTCTAGGCATGTCTTATTATGCACAAAGTAGAATAAAGAGAGAAGTGACAAGAAGAAATGAAGATAGAAAAATACAACTGCGTATACTCAGAAGACATGGTAGAATGAAGAATCTAGCCATCAAGCTGCTGCTTAGGATGAGTTAGTGAGCCATCTGCCTGCCTCTACACTATATAAACAACAGTACTTCAACCAGAATAACCATCAAGTATCATAATAGCGAGAATTAGGAAAATAGCTTCAAGCTCTTTATAATCTCCTAGAACTCTGTGATAATATGCTTAACTCTTCACTCATCTGTCTGCCACAGTAGAAGTTATGATATAAGGATGTCCTTAATAGGAAAGCACCTATGATGAACTGACTCACTGCAATCAACATCACCATGGCATCGTCGCCGAGAACACCCTATTCACATTTTCCTCTTGAAGTGAGAAAGCACACAGCACATTTTCAGCTGTCATGCCTCCTCCCAATACCCCACTTCTCTCTTCTATAGCCAACATCTCAACGCATATGCAAAGCCATGGCGGACAATGGAGAGGGGAGCTCGAGACCGCCTCCTGGATGGCACAGCAGAGTCCCCGAAGCGCAGCCTCCTCGAGTGCCATTCCCTCGCATCAACCCGTCGCCAGTGCCTAGACCCGAAGACGTCCTGCCTGATATTTTTGAGCAACAACCGGAGATATACCCAGGAAGTACACGGGGAGGATGGCGTCTTCGAGCGCCCTTTGGCCCGAAACACAACCTTCCACAGTATGAGATGAACAAACAATGTTCTCATGGCATTATGGTTCGCCGGTTTGTGGACGATGGTATACTTTGTCCCAACTGCGCTCGCCAACCCTTACTCGGATGGTTGCTCTTCTGCGTCGAAGATCTCGATCAACCAAACGGTCCGGGGCTGTCCGGAGGAATCTCCAGGGCCATGATCAACGGTCATTACACCTTCAGAGAGAGAACGATCGTGAGGCAACAGAGGGCAATCGTATTGCAGCATCTGGAGCAGGAGTCTGGCCCGGTTGCAGCTCCGTTCTCACATATTGAAGTCATTCAGGGAGTCGAGCCGGGCGTCCAGGACGATGACAACGGCAACGATGAACTGCCCACAGAGAGCACTGAGGCTATCCGTCGGCAGAATCAGGTAGAATCAATGTCTTGCCCGGAACAATCTTCCAGGCAGCCGCGTTCAGCTTGCCGATTCTGGTGCTGCTACCATTGTATGGGTAATATCCCTGAGCGTGCCTACATCAATCTTGACGGCTTTCTCAACGATCCATGTACTGTGATCGCCCTTCCATGGGAGCTCAGGAACAAAAGGGTTTCCGACGCTAGGGTTGTCCGCAACTTGGACAATCATTACGAGCAGAGGGAGCATTTCTTCGGGCCGCCGGCACCTTCTTATGCATCATCCGAAAGCATGAGTCTCGCAATAATGCAGCCACAATTTGTGCGCTTTTGCGCAATTGCCTCACGGATTGATCTGCGTAGTCTTTGCGATCCGTTGGAGGCCAGAGAGTTTTCAAGCGTGGGTCTTATTGCCGAGCTCAGTGACAGCGGATCAGGACATTCCTTTTTGAGCGGCGGCTCGAGAAGCATCTTGATAGCTTATGCCGAAGAGAACGCCGTTGAGCCTGCTGAAGCACGGAGCACTCATGATCGTGAAAGTGACCTTGATGTCGAAGTTGGCGATGATGATTATGGCTTAGAATCGCTATTTCGCAGTACGACTTTGGACATTTTCGATCTCGAATGATCAAGTCAGTCAATAGCCGACCGGCTCACTGAGGGAGGAAAGCAGTCCAGCGGTGAAAGGGAAGACGAACGAAGGACGGAAAAGGCAGTCTGATGCGAGAATGGAGCCAAACTCTGTTGGATAAGTCAATATAACAGCCCTTGAGGATGCTGTTAAAGCTGTTCATAAGTACCTGGAAACTGTCTGTTAATCTTATTCATTGGCTATCATTGTATTCATTCATCTTCGGCCAATAAAATCACAATGCAAGGATACTTGAGCAATCTTAATTTCCTGGACTGCTCGGGTCAAGCCAGAGCCAAAGGGAGACCTCTAGAGATACTACTCGTAGTCAGTTGACCTTATGCAACACTTCGAACGTCACGAAGCGACCTTTGTAGATCGAATGCAGAGTGAATTATAAGTATCCTGTATGCACCGTAGACTTGTGATTTTCCTTCTTGCTGAAGTTGGACAGTCTTCGGTTTTATCGCACACTACCAGGTGTCCAGCTGCCTGTGCGCTCCGAATTCCGAGCCTCGGCTCCAACGCCCAGAGCATAGGTCCTCATCAGATGCTCCATACTACTAATCTCCTTATATCTCAGAACTCTGCGACGCGATTCTCCCCACAACTTTTTCGAACTATAGTCAGGCAGTCAGACGCCACTATGACAGACTCAGAAAAGACACTCGCTTCGTCAGAGCCCCCTGTGGCACCTGAAATCGAAGCGCCGAGTGTGGGGAAGCCCGTAAGCCCCGCGGGGATTTCACCGCCAGTGCCGTCCTCCTCGGCGAGGAATGATACTCAACGCAAGCTGCTGGAAGCTCTCAGGGCGACAGACTATAATATTGAACGTCTAGACAGGTAAGTGAATGTCAATTCCAATGTCCTCCGCTGTTGCCAAAGCGCGATGCGACGCATATGTGACTAACAACAAATACGCTCGGTAGACTTCTATCCACAGCCTACGGTCAAGAACGAGTCTTCGCAGCTACCGGATATCTCACTCATGCACTCCATCATCTCATTACTTCTGCGCCATGGATCGCCGTACAAACGCGTCTGGGCCTTCTCGCCCGGTTGAACAATCGTACGAAATCTACTCGCGACACCGCCACTCCGTCCTCGTCGCCGCAATCCCGGCTCCTCGCCCTTTCCTCTCTCATGTCTGAGACCCGTTATACCATCCGGCTCTTGGGTCTAGTTCCTCTCTGGACATGGGGATCGGCCACTCTGAAGTCACCACCTTCGGATCCCATTATTCGCAGCTTGACCCTCGCCCAGGTGGCCGTGAACATGGTATACCAATTCCTCGAGAACGTGGGCTACCTCGCATCCAAGGGAGTCATCTCGAAGAAATGGATCGATCGATGGGGAGGCATCAACAAGTGGTATTTGTGGAGCATCCGGGCCTGGTTCGGCCATATTATCTTCCAGTTCTTCGTGCTGTGGAGACAGCTGGTCTTGCGGAGGAGGAAGATTGCAAGTGACCCGGCCAAGGAGGGCCAGGAGGAACTGAGGGCGGAGATTCGTGCCTGGAAGAAGGCTCTGGTGAACAACGTGTGCTGGGCTCCGTTGTGTCTTCACTGGTGTTTCGAAAACGGCGTCGGCATCCCTAACGGTTTGTCGGGTGTGATCAGTTTCATGGCTGGCGCGTGGGGATTCTATGATCTCTGGGCTGCGACTGCGAAGTCATGATCGAGGTTTACGTGATTCACTCGTGTATAATTCAGCTCCGTCTTCTTCGGTTTACATAGACGTAGATATCCTGCATGCAACTCTGTAACTTGGCTATTCGGTTCCAGTCTCAGTGGCTGTTGTTGGACTTTAGCTTTATCCAATCTACATTACCTCGGCTGGTATACGATAGACCAGCTCGTTCCTGTATCAAAATTGACAATGTCCCGTATCATACATGACAATGGACGGCACGGGCATGCACCAAGCCTGGTTCACTGCCAAGACACACTTGTTCCTATATATTGATGCCTCAGGCACGCAGGTAGAGTTTGTCCTGCGGCTGTCTTCCAGGGTGGCAAAACCCATGCATGAAGCTTAGCATCTGTGAAGCATTGTCATCTCAGAGGAAGAAGCATGAAGACTGATAAGGACACGTAGTTGCGCAGCATGGATTTCAAAGCAAACCTCCGTCCATCTGGTGGTTGGATACGACCATCTTCCATTCGCTTCTTCCTTTGGGCGGTGGCGGCACCTGTGGCTGATGAACCTGAGGCGGCTTAAGTCATCAGTCCGACAGGCACCGAGCCTATCGTCACCTCTTTAACTGGAGCTGTTGCTGCCAACATCCGAACCTCACATCCATCTCTCTCACATCCACGTACCACCTCTTTTCACTTCCCTTCGTCTGTTGGACTCTACAACTCTCTTGTCGTTTCCTTCAATTTCCCTTTCTCGCTTTTTTTCACCTGCTTGGCAGTTGAGCTCGTCCGAGCGACGTCCTTGATACCTGCAGATCGTCTACGTTGCTTCAAGAGCTTGTTCACACAACTACTGTATCTCAGTCTTCGTCAAAATGAGTGCAGAACCAGACCACGCTCACGATAAGAAGAGGGTGCACCTCCAGTACGTCCTTGGTTTCTCGGTTTTTCGTCTTACAGGGTCCTCATGCTAACGAACTAACAGTGACGCCTCGGGCGCCGAGAAGAAAGAGGTAAAGTTGCAGTGGCGTCGACAAGGGGTCAACATTAGTACTGACTCTTCGAACGCAGGAGCTAGATACCTCTACAGCCATTCTCAAGAAGAAGAAGAAGCCCAACTCGTTGATGTAAGCACACCACACGCTGATGGCTATTGACGTGGCGGGCGTGGGATACTGACTTAGTTTGCCTAGTGTGACCGATGCCGTCAACGATGACAACTCAGTTATTGCCCTTTCCAACAATACCATGGAGACGCTCCAGCTTTTCCGTGGTGACACAGTCTTGGTGAAGGGCAAGAAGCGGAAGGATACCGTTTTGATCGTGCTTGCTGATGATGACCTGGATGACGGAAGCGCCCGCATCAACCGTGTCGTGAGACACAATTTGCGTGTCAAGCACGGTGACATTATCACCGTTCACCCTTGCCCGGATATCAAATATGTAGGCTTGCCTTCAATGTCCCCCCAAACGAAAACAGAAAAAACTAATCCTTCATTTCTTTGCAGGCCAAACGGATTGCCGTCCTTCCCATTGCAGACACCGTAGAGGGTCTGACTGGATCCCTTTTCGATGTCTACCTCGCCCCATACTTCCGTGAAGCCTACAGACCCGTGAAACAGGGAGACTTGTTTACAGTACGTGGAGGTATGAGACAGGTGGAGTTCAAGGTTGTTGAGGTCGATCCTCCAGAGTACGGTATTGTCGCACAAGATACCATCATCCACTGCGAGGGCGAGCCCATCCAGCGGGAGGATGAGGAGGGCAACCTGAACGAGGTCGGTTATGACGATATCGGTGGTTGCAGAAAGCAGATGGCACAGATCCGTGAATTGGTCGAGTTGCCTCTGCGTCATCCTCAGCTGTTCAAGTCCATCGGTATCAAGCCGCCCCGTGGTATTCTGATGTACGGTCCTCCTGGTACCGGTAAGACACTGATGGCTCGTGCCGTTGCGAACGAGACTGGTGCCTTCTTCTTCCTGATCAACGGTCCCGAAATCATGTCCAAGATGGCCGGTGAATCCGAATCGAATTTGCGCAAGGCGTTCGAGGAGGCCGAGAAGAACTCTCCCGCCATCATCTTCATTGATGAGATCGACTCCATCGCCCCTAAGCGTGAGAAGACCAACGGAGAGGTCGAGCGCCGTGTCGTCTCTCAGCTTCTGACTCTGATGGACGGCATGAAGGCTCGTTCCAACGTTGTCGTCATGGCCGCCACTAACCGCCCCAACTCCATCGACCCTGCCCTCCGTCGTTTTGGCCGTTTCGACCGTGAAGTGGATATCGGTATCCCCGATCCCACTGGCCGTCTCGAGATCCTGTCCATTCACACCAAGAACATGAAGCTCGCTGGGGACGTCGACCTGGAGACCATTGCCGCCGAGACTCACGGCTACGTCGGTTCCGATATTGCCTCTCTCTGCTCTGAGGCCGCTATGCAGCAGATTCGTGAGAAGATGGATATGATCGATCTTGACGAGGACACCATCGACGCGGAGGTGCTTGACTCCCTCGGTGTTACGATGGAGAACTTCCGTTACGCCCTCGGCGTGTCCAACCCCTCTGCTCTTCGCGAGGTTGCCGTCGTCGAGGTTCCCAACGTCCGTTGGGATGACATTGGTGGTCTGGAGGAGGTCAAGCGCGAGCTCATCGAGAGTGTCCAATACCCCGTGGATCACCCCGAAAAGTTCCAGAAGTTCGGCCTTTCGCCATCTCGTGGTGTTCTTTTCTATGGTCCTCCTGGTACTGGTAAGACCATGCTTGCCAAGGCCGTGGCGAACGAGTGTGCTGCCAACTTCATTTCGGTCAAGGGACCGGAGCTCCTGAGCATGTGGTTCGGTGAGTCTGAGAGCAACATCCGGGACATTTTCGACAAGGCCCGTGCTGCTGCTCCTTGCGTCGTTTTCCTTGACGAATTGGATTCGATCGCCAAGTCCCGTGGTGGTTCCGTCGGCGACGCTGGTGGTGCCTCGGACCGTGTGGTCAACCAGCTTCTTACTGGTAAGTTTGACAAGTCTTGCGACATAGCGGACTGTAGCTAACAAAATCTTTAGAAATGGACGGTATGACATCAAAGAAGAATGTGTTCGTCATTGGTGCTACCAACAGACCCGAGCAGCTCGATGCTGCTCTGGTTCGTCCTGGTCGTCTCGATACTCTGGTCTACGTGCCTCTACCCGATCAGGCTTCTCGTGAGAGCATTCTTAAGGCCCAGCTCCGCAAGACCCCTGTCGCTCCCGACGTTGATATCGCCTTCATTGCCAGCAAGACCCATGGATTCTCGGGTGCCGATCTTGGATTTGTCACCCAGCGTGCCGTCAAGCTGGCCATCAAGGAATCCATTGCCGCTGATATTGAGCG